ATAAACAATTAGTGACAAATTTTATATTGTAGCTAATTATTTCGTAGCAATATATCACATTTGTTGTAGTGCTACTATGGGCTGCCAACAAATTAGCTTGAATCCCCCTCACCCTTTCCTGATCTTTCCTAGCCAAGTCAACACTCAAAGGATTCACGTCCCCAACCTCAAACCAGTCTATGGTCGGTTTGTATCCCTTCCCCTATAGTGCCTCAAGTGGTGCCATATCAATGTTGGAGTGATAAATATTATTATAGGAGAACTCACATAAAGGAAGAAATTGATTCCAATGGCCCCCAAAATCAATTACACATGCTCTCAACATATCTTCCAATACCTTAATAGTCCTCGTTGACTGACCGTCAGTCTGTGGATGGAAAGTAGTATTGCAAGTGAGTTGAGTACCCAATGTCTCATGTAGCTTACCCCAAAACATCAAAGTAACGCAGTCTGAGATGATAGAGAGGGGCACCACGTGCAACCTAACTATCTCCTTCAGATAAATCTTTGCCAGCCGTTGAGAGTCGTTATCCACTCTATCTAGAATGAAGTGGGGTGATTAATTCAACCTATCAACAAAAACCCAAATCGAATCATATTTACCCAAAGTCTTGGGTAGTCCTACCATGAAATCCATGGATATCTTCTCCCACTTCAATTAGAGAATGGGCATCCTCTGAAGCAAACCTACTGGTCTTTGATGTTCATACTTTACCTGTTGACAATTCTTGAACTTGGAAACATATTCTGCAATGTCTTTCCATTCCACCAATAAAGTTGCCTCAAATACCTATACATCTTAGTCACACCTGGATGAATAGAATATGGTGAACCATGAGCCTCTGCCAACATATTCTAGATCAACTTATCAACATGAGGGAATACAAATCCTTGCTCTAAACTTGAGCACACCATCAACATCAAGTGTGGCATCTTGGGTCTCCCCATACACCACCTTACCTTTGAGCCTAGCCAACTATTCATCCTCAAATTGTTTAATCTTTATTTTCTTTATGAAGGTGGGTGTGACCTCAATATTGGCTAGCACCCCACCTTTCTCGGAGATTCCCAACCACATAAACTTAGAGTCCAAAGTCTGAATCTCTTTAGCAAAAGGACACTTTGATATTCCAAAGCAAGCCAAATTGTCCATGCTAACCGTCTTCCTGCTCAATTTGTCTTCCACCATATTAGCCTTACCCCAGTGCTACTGAATAGTCACACCATAATCCTTGAGCAACTCCATCCATCTCCTATGTGTCTAGTTTAGACCCTTCTTAGTGAACACATGTTGGAGACTGGGATGCTCAATGAATACCTCACACTAACGCCATATATATAGTGCCTCTAGTTCTTGAGAGCAAACACCACTACCACCAACTCCAAGTCATGGATGGGGTAATTCCTCTCATGAACCTTCAACTTTTTTGGAATCACAATCTATGACATTCTTTTCCTGTATCAACACAACACCCAAACCAAAATGTGAAGCTTCACAATAATCAATGAAATCATAATCTTCCACCAGCAAGGTCAAGATTGGCGTTGTAGTCAAAAGATCCTTGAGCTTTTGAACGCTTTCTTCACATTTATCTGACCACTCGAAAGGTACCTCCTTTTGATTCAACATGGTCGTGTTTAGCAATAGAAGCAAAGTTCTTTACAAACCTACGATAATAGCTAACGTGCCCCCACAAAACGTCTCACCTTTGTCAGAAAGCTAGGCCAAACCCAATTCTTAAATGTATGAATATTTTTGGGATCTACCATCATCCCTTCTTTTGAAACTGCATGCCCTAGAAAAGCAACCAAAGGTAGGTAGAATTCACACATACAAAATTTAACATACAATTTTTGTTTCTCCAAGATACACAGAACAATACAAAGATTGTTTGCATACTACTCCTCCCCATTGGATTAAATCAAAATATTGTCCTTAAAAACAATCATAAAGAAATCTAAGAATGGCTTAAGCACCCTATTCATCAAACTCATAAACGTTGCACGCACATTAGTCAATTGAAACGACATTACCAAAAACTCAAAATGCCTATACCGGGTCAGGAAAGATTTTTTAGATATATACTTAGTCCTAATCTTTAACTGATGATACCCTGGCCTCTAATAAATCTTAGAAAAGACAAATGCACCCTGCAACTGGTCAAACAAATTATATATGTGATACAAGGGATACTTATTTCGGATGGTAACCTTATTCAACTATCGGTAATCTATATAAATCCCCATACTACCCTCTTTCTTTTTTACAAACAAGGCAGGAGCACCCATGGATAAGCACTAGGACTAACAAATCCCTTATCAAGCAATTCCTGACTCTTAAGCTCTCTTAACTCTACCGGAGCCATGCGATAGGGAGGAAATGATTGGTGAGTGTCCGGCTCCAAGTCAATACAAAAGTCTATGTCCCTATGTGGGGCATACCAAGAAGATCGGTGGGAAACACCTTTGGAAACCCATAAAGCATAGGGATAGACTCAATGAAAAGAGACTTCGCACTAAAGATCCCAAATATGAGCCAAATATGCTAAACCATCCTGCCCTACAAGTTTGCTATCATGATGGAATGATATGATCTTTAATGGCTTAGGCTTGTACACCCCTTCCCACTCCAATCTTTCCCTCCCTGGTATCTCTAGAGTCATTGTCTTAGCATTACAATTTAGTGCAGCAAAACAGGGGGACAGTTAAGTCATTCCCAATTGGATTTTTTAAGAATTCACAATATAATTTGAACTTCACCTGAATTTTTTTAAAAGTGCAATATATTTTGAATATGTATGTTTTATAATTAGTAAATGATTCAAAATTGATGGCATTATAGTAAGTGTTAAAAAGTTATTCTTCTTAGTAGAAAAAAAATGATAAAGTTCAAGCATGATAGGATTCCTAACTAAGAAATTTTTTTCCAAATAAACTAAAGTATTATTTTAAAAAAAAAATAAGATTATAATTTTAGTTAAATGAGTATGATGAATTAAAGAGAAGGAGGCTTTTGAAGTGTTAAATATTTTTTTTAGGAAAATAATAATAATTGTGTAATATTTTGATCCTAAATAAAATAAAAAATGATATTTGACGAAATTTTTTAATACTTGAGTGAGTGACCATTTAAGAAATTAACTCTCTTTATTAGCATCATCAACCCAGGCCTAGGGATGGCAAAATAAAACCCAACCCGCCCAACCCATCTAAGTTTACGCGGGTTGTTGACCCGTTTATTCATGAGTTCAATCCATTTCAATCCATTAAAAGTTGGATTAATATGTTACCCGAATTGACTTGTGAGAAATCTTATCAAAATATTTTTAAAAAGTTTGTTTTCAAATTTGATATGTTATATATAGCCATAATAAAGAAAAATAATAATTTTATTAGGTACTAAAATATTTTAAAAGGCCAAGTAAAACAATTTAACTAAGTAAAAATTGGATTGGGTCTTGACTCAATATATAACTCATTATCTAACCCATTTTGACCCAAGCAAATTTGAGTTTGGTTTGATCTTGACTCAAATATTGTCTTGACTCATTATAACCGGCCAAATTTCACCCAGTCCGCTTAATTGTTACCCCTACCGAGGCCCTAGGTGGTAAATATTGGTCATTTAAATCTCAAGTTGTATATCACTTGTCAGGTTAAACTCACCAAGAAAAGTGGAAAGTAAAGTCTTTGCTTTGCTTTAAAATATGTAGTGGCTATATAATCATGACAACCAAAAAAAGATACTACTATGCTATTTTAGAAGGAAGGAAAGCAAAGTAGATAATGAGGGAGAGCGAATATACGTTAGGATACTTTTGAAGACGCAAAACTTCTCATGGAAACTTCAGCATAGTAAAAGACGTTGAAAGATTTATCAAGTTGTGATGTAGAATATACCCTACCATAGCTTTGTTTTATATCACGAATTCAAAAGTAGTGTTTGGTACGAACAACAAGGACAACTAATTTTAAAATTAATTTATCTCATGGTTGATTAGAATAAAATCACAAGATAACTTATCTCAAAATTAATTTTTAAATATTGTCACATTTTTGGGGTTCAATCGTGTCAAGTCAAATGGTGCTATATACAACGGAACGAAGAGAGTATATATATTTTTTTAACTCAAAGGTTGTGGCATAGTCACACGGAGAGAGTATAAAAATAGTGTATAATTACGTATTAGAGATGTGTGTGTATATATAATATTCATATTCATATACACTGTTTAAATAAAATTTATACATTGCATCAGTTCATCTTCCTCCACAGGCTGAATTTTTATCAATCCCGACCAACTCAAATCTCCTTTTAAGAGTCCTAAATTATTAACAAAATACATATGTACAGTTTTATAGTTGAGAAATAATCATTAATTGAAAGTCTAAATTTTTCATGCTTAAATGAACTTAAATACAAGTGAAAATTGAATTGAAAAACAGATTATAAGTTGTTTTTCAAATTTGATGAATTTTAAAATTTTCTTAATCAAACCATGATTTTCAAATAATTTTTTTTAAAAAAAAATGATAACTATGCGGAACAGGTCCTAATCGTGCTATTTTTAATTAGATATTAAAATAGGGTTATTGTAATTATTTACTACGCCTTCCGAATAGAGTAAAAATTGAGGGAATATTAGTAGCATATATCATATATAATACAATAACTTTGAAAGAGTCATAGATGGCCGGCCGCATGCTCTTCGCCGAATGACCATTTTATGAAATAAATTATAATTGGGTTATTTTGACCCGGAATTTGATCCACACATTTTGTCTAATTTTCCCTATTTTAATACACTTTCTGGTTCCTTCTAAATTTAACTATAGAGCCATAAATTATAAAGTTTGACAGAGTACTATTACAAACTTTATTGTTATGTTTAAACCATTATAGGAAGGGACCAAAAAAGCACTAGTTCTACTGCAAGTTAAATTGTATGCTTGGAAGTTGGAACTAACAGCAAATTATTTTGATAAGAAAGTTAAGGAAGAAGTCGCAAAAAGATGGGTATTCATATCATAGGAACATATGAGGCTAAAATGATTTACTATTTACTAAAAGTGATTACAATAACCATCCCAACATTGAAAACAAAGACTTCCTAATTTTTGTATATATCCTTGGAAGGACACAATTAATGGGTAACCACAAATTTTGTTCATTATGTAAGAAGGTGGATTATAACAATACATACAGACACTACTTACAATAGATTAGTAGGCTTCCAGATACTTGTTGAATCCTCCATCTGATGCTGATGATCGGCTAGTGAGGGCAGGTCTCATTGCAACAACGGCACTCTCATTCGCTCCAGCTCTCAGAGCAGCCCTACCAGCTTCCAAGAACCTATTGACTGCATCATCTACATATTGATTAGCTTCACGGACATTCATCTTCCGTCCAATATCAGCGTAGTTTTTGAGAACATGATCTCCATTAAGCTGTGAAGCAAGCTGGATCAGTTCTATTTGAAATTCAGAGAGCTTTGCATCCTCTCTTGGTCCCCATGGTCTTAGATTTGTCTTCACCTCCGCAAGTTTCTCTGTATATATCATATCGATCAAATGATTAGGATCAATCTGCCTCTTAAACAGGTGATTAGGCTCTTGTTTAATATGAAGAATTTGCAACGGAGAGGCGAATCTACACTTGGGATACAGGGATCAAGGGTACCCCCTTAACATAGGAAAAAATGTATGTAAATATATCTTAAATAGAGTATATATTTCTCTGTTGGCACCCTTAGCAACAAAGTGGTTCCACCGGTTAATTTCGGGTGCACGGGTGGACATTAAGTGGGCTTACCTGGGTTTGATTCCCACTTCGCTCAAGAAAATAATTAAGCCACATGTGGAAGGGCACATTGCATAACTAAAATAAATATGTTCCGTCTCTACCCACTAAAGTTTTTAAATGATGTCGTTTTAGACAATTCAGCATAGTATACAGTACAGACATGCTGGGAAAATCCAACCTTCGGCTATATCAGATTAGATATGTTCTACCATATTCAGGCCAGCACTCGTCAAAGATAAAGCACTCAATTCTTCTTCCTCCCTACTGTCTGAATGTTATAACAGATCCTATCTACTTTATTAAACTATATGACAGAACAAAGCACAATAGTAGCTTTTACCAATACAAAAGATGGAAAACATCCCATTGCTCTAAATGATGAAATAGAATTACAACTCATGCATGAGTTGGAGCAGCTAAAGTGAAGTAGAGGATCAAAAGAAGATCCTATTCAAGACAGGACAATGAGTTCATGAGGGAGCCAACAGAGCTCCACAAGGACATGTTAAGCCAGCTCATCTAGCAAAAAAGTATATGTTTGCTTACAATCATGACATGCTTGAGGAAAGCAGAAGTATTTTGATAGTAATAGTAATCACAGCAGACAGCATCTTAAAACTACTAATAAGCATCTTGCAATAGAATATCTTCACCATATGCATTTGAAGAAATTTAGCTAGAATACGTTTACTCTTAAAAGTATTTCCTAAAGCATCAACATTTAAAAGCAGACCATATGCCCTGGAAGTACTCTCCGTCTTATAAGTAACTATCAGTCACTTCTGTATGAACATAGAATTTTCAGTATTAAGCATGCAATAATGGAGAAATCAACTAAGTATTTGTTCATGGTTTGCTGAAGTTGTATGCATACAAACCTGGACAATCATCACGAGGAGTCTTACGCAAGCAGAAATAGTTCTCAAAGGTCCCAGCCCATGCGTCTCGCTTGGTTAAGAAACTTGATTTCAGATTAAAAAGTTTTTTCACAGTTGCTGGTATGGAAGAGTGCTCAAATTGTGAAAACGTAGTTGGACCTGTCGGCTCATGGATCACTGCATCAAACATATTGATCAGGTATATATGTTTAAACATTCCAATCCACCAGCACCAATATGTAGACAACGATTTGAGAAAAATAAAGGAGAAGGTAAGAAAGATGAATATAGCATAATAACATTAATGACTTATCAATTATCAAAGAGATAAACTTAGTCATTCAGCCCATTGAGCTTCTCAATCAATACAGAAAAATACTAATTAAATTTCCAGAGGCATGAACATAACAACTAAGAGAGTAGCATTCATATGTTCCTTTTTTTTTTGGCTATGTAAGCTTATATTTAGATGTGCTCTCCAGTACCGAAAGAGGGCATCTGTACATAAAAATGTGTGAGTGTGCAGCTTTTGAGGTTAACTTTTGTCTAAATAATCACTAAGCCCATATTTATCTCAGGATATTCCTGTACAGTTGTAGTCACACCCTTTCAACTCAACATATCTAGTTATAGCTACAATTCCAGACATATAGCAATGAGCTTAACTATAGAATTTACGATATTCATATGAAAGAATCCTGAAAACAGCCTGGTGAGTTCTCTTTTGAAATGAAACAAGTAAGTTGTATGTATATAAAGGACAAGATGACTGACTCACCAGTGGCCTTGTCAATCCATGGTGAAATCAAGAAGGTCGGGACACGAACCCCCAAGCGGTCAAATCTGAAGTAATATGGTGGAGGCCCGATAATGCCATCAGGATTAGGCACCCCAGAAACAGGAGTTGGTACATGATCAAAGAAGCCACCATGTTCGTCATATGTAATCAAGAGTGCCATTTCTTTCCACTGTGGACTTGCCCTCAATGTCTCATAAACCTCCTTGACAAATTTTTGTCCAAGTGCTACATCGTGTGATGGATGATCATCATTTGCTGGGTCAATTTTAACATCGAAATATCTCTGCTCAATCACAACGTAATTTGGAAGTTTCCCAAGTTTAGCGTGGATTTTGAACGTTAATGCATAATTGTGGAACTTAAAAATATGTTTCAGTTTTCTGAGTGACTTGAAAAATAAGGTAGCTGGCATGTTTTGGTAGTAAATTCCAAATGAGAGCCCATTTTCGTCCAAAGAATCGAATATAGTCTTTTGAGGGAACCCATGGATCAAGTCTTTACGGACATTGCTCGAAGCTCCGTGAGAAGTTGCCGAGTGAACGTAAAACCGATTCGGCTGAGTTGAAGCCGGAACCGACGCGAACCAACGGTCAAAAACGCCAAACTCCTTCGCTAAATCAGTGTAAACCGGTACTAACTCTGGTTTAAACCCGCTCATCACGGTCTGCTCCATACCAGGCACGCCCATATTAACAGCCTGCTGCACGAACCCGTTCATCGGAGCTGGGTTTGCTGAAGAATCATTCGACCCGAATATCTGCTCCCGAATGGCTTGAATAGAGTGACCTGGATCAGAATCAACGAATACAGCATCATCGGAGACAAAGATTTTTGAGGAATAAGGGTCTGAAGCATTAACCCTGTTAAACTCGGAGCCCTTCAGCCCATCGATATCCGGTCGGGTTTTGTGGAGCCAACCCAGAATATGATCAAAAGAGCGGTTTTCCATGACCAAAACGACAAGAGTTTTGATGGGTCCGTTGATTTTGTGATTCTTGGGCTTCACAAACGGAAAGGAAAAGGAAACGCAAGGGGATGAAAGCAGGTAAAGTATAAAGAATAAACCCAAGTGGGTCGCTGGGAAAAGGATTTTCCGATGGCCCATTTCCGGCGATTTGAAAATCCGGTGGCGGTAGTTGAGAATTGCGTTTGCGGAATAGACAAGACTTATACAAGTACTAGTCTTGGAAAATGGCATAGCCGCTAAGCATCATTTGGTAGCAGGCAATTTAAGAATCCTATCTCAAATGTTACACTATTTGTCTTTTATTTTAATTTTTCCTTCACTTTATAACCAAACGTTTTATATTCCCTTTGTCAAATTTATTTGAAATGTCAAACAACATTTCATACACTCTTCATGCCTTTTAAAATTATAATTTATTTATTAGAAAATTAGATAGATAAATATTATCTTAAGTCTATGTCTGACTTTTAAAGCAATAGTTTCACATAAACATAGAACAACCAATGGTTAACTTTAAGGAGAGGAGAGTAAATACTGAAATAGTAAGAGAAAACGGGGGAGTGAATTACAAGGTATGAAGTACAATTTTCACCAACTAAGTTAAAGTGTAGGTAGATAATCAACTGAGTTATTGAGATTCCATATTGAAATAGTAAATGAAGTGAACTTGTTACAAAAAAAATTTGATGTGACTAATGTTGCTCTCATATGCACACGCAAGTGCACGTGGTCGCAGAAGCAATAAATGACTCTTTTAGAACCGAGTTGTCGAACCCAAATGACTTACGATCAATTTATATGGATGAAAAGAAATATAAGAAGAAACATACTAGTAGAAAGTTAAGAAAAATAAGAAGAAAATTAAACAAACTATATCCAAAATATAAAAAACTCAATATCACAAAAACTGATAATGACAAATTAGATCAATTAATAGATAATATATCTAAAATAGAATATAAATATATTCAATATCTAAAGATACAATGAATAACGAGAATAACAAATATAGACAAAAATTTACTGAAATAATTATAGCAAAAAGACAAGAATTAACACATAGGCAAAGTAGACTTAACAGTAATATATTCGCAGGAACTTGTAAAAAATTTATAGTAGCACAAAGGAAAACTATTTTATATCATAGAAAGTCTAGAATATAAACTTCAACACAATCTATAAATGAATAAGAAATAATATGTCATAGACGAAAAAATATATGAAAACTATGACGGATTAAAAATAAAGATAATATTTTCTAATCTAGGAAAAGATACAAAAAAATAGGTGACAATATAAGTTTAATGTTAGAAAAGAAACGGTAAAACTAGAAGATAGTTTAACTGCTATAATAAGAATAACAAAAGAAAATGAAGAAATAGATAGAAAAACGGAAATTGAAAAAGAAAAACAACAAGCAAAAAAGGAAGTACAACAATTAGAAGAAGTAAAAAATACTAAAATAATAGAACTAGAAAAAGAGCTGGCAATGTTAAAAGAGATGTATGAAATGAAACAAAAAGAAAAAGAACAAAAAACGAAATTAGCAAATGAGATAAATAAATTTAAAGAAAATTGCAATTAGAAGATGAATTAGAAGAAAAAGAAGAAAATAACCAAAATAATCTACCCGAAATAAGAATTGATGAAATAAATGATAATGATCTAGATGAACAACATTCGAAAACAAGCGAAATATATATGGAACTTTTAGCAAACATAGATAATACAAAGAATTTAGAAGTAAATACAGGAGACGTAGACATGGATGAAAAACCTAGTACATCAGGAATAAAAAACCCAAAAAATTTAAAATATTATACTGCAAACTATGGACAATATGATAAAGAAAAAACTATATGAGATAAAAGATTAAATAAAAAATGGACACCTAAACCAATAACTGAACAACATGATTTTTTAGATTTAGACCGTGTAGCAGATATAAATAAAAAAATCCAATTATGGATGAGATATATATCAAAACAATTAATAGATAACAAAATAGGAATGACAGAAACACCAGGATATATAGAAAGAACACTTATAGGAACAGTAAAATTATGGCTATAAAATTTATCAGATGAAAGTTTAAAAACTCTAAGAAGTAATAAAAAATCTAATGGTGAATTAGCTACTACAACTAAGGAAATATTACATAAATACGAAATAGCTATAAGAAATGAATTTAGTAGTATGACAACAGAAGTAGAAGAACAAAATAGAGAAAAAATCATAAACCGGAATATAATGACAAAATTAGCAATATGTAATATGTGTTATATAGATGAATATACATGTGCATTTAGAGAATATTATTATAAAGGAACATATAGCACAGAAGAAAGTAAGGAAATAAGAAAATTATATTTTACAAAATTACCAGAACATTTTAATTCAAAAGTAATAAAAAGTTGGAATGAAGCAGGATTAACAGATACCTTAGGAGCCAGAATAAAATTCTTACAACGATGATTTATAGAACTATGTGAAAAACATAAAGAAGAAATAAAAATGGAAAAAATACTAATAAAAAACTTAGCATGTTGCAAAAATAAAACAACACCCCAATTTGATTGTACTGACAAATACTATAAAAAGAGATATAACAAAAAATATAGATCAAAATAAAAATATAAAAAACCAAGAAGAAGATACTATGTAAAAAACTACAAAACCAAAAGACCAAAAAGAAAACTAACAGAATGTACTTGTTATAATTGTGGAAAATTAGGACATATAGCTAGAGATTGTAAATTACCTAACAATCCAAAGAAAAAATAAATATCTGAAATAATAATAGACAATGAAAAATATACACAAATAGAATACGTAGATTATGAACTAGAAAGTGAAGATAGCATAAATGAATTATCAGTAAATGAAACAGACGAAATGAAAAATAATTCAGCAATAGAATCAGATAATGAACATTATATAAATGACTGAAACAGATATACAAATAATAACTAAAGAAAAATATCAAGATGAAGAATCGGCAGAACAAAAAATAATATTTGATAATAATATATTTGAACAAATAAAAGGAAAAAAATTAGACCTAATGGTAGAAAAAATATTCGAAATACCAACAATAAGAAACTGGTTTAAACGACAAAAAGAAGAATATTATGTAGTAAGTCAAAGAGAACATATCATAGATTGCAAATATACCAAAGGAAAGGCTAAAATACCAATAATAAACAAACGAATAATAAATAAAGAAATACAAGATATTAAGGCTAAAAATCCAATTAAGCATGTACATTTAAGAGGAATGAAAATATTAATAAAAACATGTTTTAGAGAAGGAATAGATACACCCATAGAAATATACTTAGCAGATGATAGGATCATACAACCTATAAAAAAAAGTATAATAAGTGCAGTAAAAGATAACCTCAGATACCAAAAATTTAAATTTATAATAAGTGCTAACTATGTAGTAGCAATAAATGACAGAAATATAGATAAATCACTAGTATTATATTGGAAAATATCAGGGATAGAACTAGCCCCGGGAAGTAAAATATTTACAGCTAGATGTAAAAACTTATATGTTTTAACAATAAAACATAAAATAACAGCAAAAAATAAAATAAAAAAAATAAAAATAGAAAATCTTTTTGAAAGGATAGTTACAGTCATAGATAATAGTGATTATAGTTATAATGAAATTGATATAGAATAAGATTTGGAAATAGTAAAAGAAAGACTAAGTATATCAAAAAGAATAAACAATGAGATACCCCAAATATCATCAAAAATGAGTACCTCAAGAAGAATAGATAAAACTCTACAAAAATCAATGGAAGAAGAAATAAAACCACATCATTACTACATAACAGGAGTAATGGAACAATGAAAATATTTAATATTAATAAATACAGGACAAGAAGAAAACTATATTACAAGAGAATTAGTGACGGAAGATGAAATAATAACTACTGAACAATTATGCCCCGAACTACCAAAAACATTGATGTATATCGAAGAAACTACAGAAAAGAAAATAATCATTGGAGGAGTACCAATAGTAATAAAATTTAAAATATATCAAGGAGATGAAAATATCACTTTAGGAATAAAATGGCTAGAACAAGTAAAACCATATAATTTAGAAGACAAACAGTTAACAATAAATTATAATAATAAGAAGAAAATAATAAATTGAACTTTCTTATGATAAAAACATGAAAATATATATACTTGCAAAGATAATAATAGAGGGGATATTACAATAGATATTATACACTAATGATAGATACGGGAGCAGAAACTAATATATGTAAATACAATTGTTTACTAGAAGATAAGGGGGAAAAGTTTAAAACACCGATAGTAGTAACAAGATTTAATAATGAAGGAAGCATGATCACATATAAGGCAAAAAATATAAAAATACAACTATGGGATAAGATATTAACTGTAGAGGAAATATATAACTTTGAATTGACTACAAAAGATAGGCGAAATGGTCTGGTGGACCCTTGTACTTGTATCTGTTTGTATTGTGAACCGTTCTACTTACCATTTTGTCATCTGGACCCCTGAAACCATCCAAACCCAACATTTTAAATACTTTTTTTAATGTGGCATCCTATGTGGAAAGACACCACATGGAGCGTGTGATACACACAAGGTAAGAGCGTGAGACGCCTTAAAAAGGCACTAACGGTCAAATTTTGACCTTTAAAGGCCATCTCTTCTTCTTTTTTTTCACTCAAACACCATTGTTGGACAAATTTGAGCTTTTTTCTCCTCTTTTTCTCGATTTTGTCTCTTCAAATTTTTCTCTTTTATTTTTGGTGCCTTTAATTTTTCCTTCGATCTACTCATCTTTTTTTTTGTGTGATTCTATTGTATTTTTGTTTCATCTTTTTTTTGTGTGTGGTTCTATTGTATTTTTGTTGGTTTGATTTTGTTGGTCTTCACAATGACGGTTCGATGTTGCTACTGTGGAATATATGTTGAACTAAAGACATCAAGAACACCAACTAATCCTGGAAGAATGTTTTGGGGTTGCCAAAAATATTCATCCGGTAATGGGTGTGGATTCTTCCGTTGGGCTGATGCAAATGATTCAACATGCCAAGAACAATACAACATTAAGAATCCATCAACGAGTTCAGGGCAAAGAAGACAAGGAAGACAAGCAAGACATAGAAGACAAGGAAGGCAAAGAAGGTAAGGAAGACAAGGATCAAACACTAGTATTGATATCACTGTTATTGTG